GAGTTGTGGGTGAACAAATTGCACTTGCATAAACTAGAATCCAGGTAACTATACATCATCCTATATTTTTTATAGAGTGCCCTAGAACCTCCACAACTCAGGGCAATCAGCTATTGAATAAACAACCAAGATACTATGGCCACAGGCATCCTCCAATGCCTCAATGAGGGCGCCCATTACAGTGACTGACCAATAGTGAGATTCAGGTGTGGGGGCAGGGTCTACAAACATAGAAGCTTGGTCAGTATTAGTACAACCCAGGGCTGGACATCACAGGAGTCAAGGAGCCAATACTTCCTAAAATGTAAAGCTGGCTCCTAACTTCAGAGGTTTTCTCACCTTGTCGTCAACATAGCTAGCTCATGGATTGGACAGACTGGCTCCTGAATTCCACATTAATATGTGAGATGCAAGAGTGGGGAGGCCAAAGCCTAATCATTTTTGAAGTTCTCTCTAGTTGTTAATGCATCTGGCTCCTAAAAAAATCCTACTGGCTCCTAAATCGGATACATTGGCTCCTGAACTCCATATTAATTTCTCCAACATGAAAAGACAAATAGGCGACTGCTACATAATGCTTCACTATACTTACTCTTTTGTGACTCCAGGGTTGCTTTAAAAAAGCATTTAATGATAACTGAATGAATGCATTGCAGGACCAAACAGTGGAACTTTACATTTACCTAGGGTTCTGTGTTAATCATTAGCCTCTTTGTGTAGTCTTGACCCTTCCACAAGAAAACATTTAAAATGGAATTCTGACTGAAGCAGAGTTACAGCTTGTTAAACATAAAAGGCACACAAAGCTTTGACAATGATCCACTCAAAGAAAACTTGTGCTGAGGAAATATGGAGGCTACCATTGTTGACCTCTACTTTTGAAATAGTTAGCCATCATCCTGAATCAGTGGCTAGTGTATTTTGAGTCACTATGTAGTTTAGAAGTCACTGGTCAGCATGCCTGGTACGGATCAGGGACAGCAAGTATTGATCTCACACAGGCAGACCACTAGCCTTTTCAGCAATTGTAGCCTCTGTGTCTTCTCAGCACAGGTTTCCTTTAAAAGAAAAAAAATGTTATGAAGTAGCAATTATCAAATTTACTCTGAACTTTGTATTTTAAACATAGGTTTCTACCAGAGGCTAAAAGCTTACAAAGTAACACTATATACAAAATCCAAACAGGCAGCCTGCTGATATAACGTAGATGTGTTATACAGCATTGGAATGACCATATCCACTCAATGGGGAGCAGGAGATGAAGAATCTTGCAAGCCGTCAGCACACCCGCCTGCTATTTAGCCACAAAACAGACAAGTAGTCAAGCAGTGACATTCACGTTGGCAGGATGGGACACAGACCGGCACACTTTGCTTACCATCCTTAACGACCACTGAACCGTTCCACAGCAGCAGAAAGAAATGGCAAGTTACTGAAAGATATTGCAGAGTTTTGCTCTAATAGTGTGAGAAAAAGTCAGAGAAAATATTGTAATCAGGCTTGTCTTGTCAAAACCCATGCCTAGCTTTTCAGAGCGACCTTACACTTTTACCATGTGGGGACTAGGGAAATGAGCAGTAATTGGGGGGTGGGGGTGCTCGCAGTGACTGCGGATGGCGAAACAAATATCAGCAATTGTGTAAAGATGTCACCAGCACAGCAAAATCCTTCTTAGGATAAACAAATGTTAATTTATTGAAGTTCCCCGTCATATAAACAACAAGCGCTTTCAGGGCCACACAGGGTCCCTTCATCAGGCGTCAGCATTGTGCTAGACATCTTTACACAAATGCTTAGTTAATTTAAGTCACAGAAAATAGGAACTGAACAATAACCAAAAATCACTTTTTACATATGGCATTACAGAGGATGTTAAACATGTGAATATTATTCCTACTACAATTTCCACTGCTCAAATATGCCGATTGCCGATCTCTTATTCTGAAAACTCTTCCTGGCTGTCGTGCTGATCCAATGATTTCAACATATTGTGAAGCAACAAATCTGCATATCAAAAGTTCCAACTGAGAAAATATTGAAGTCAGAAACAGCCAAGAGGTCAGCAATGGCAGTCCTACCATTTTCTTTAGACCCTGTCACCGGACCACTCATCGAAACAAAAATCTTCCCACAATATTATATGTGCATTTAACATTTTATTCAAGCTATTTGCCTGCAAAGGCCTCCACTGTGTAGACACCCAAAAACCCTGAGATTGCTGTTGGGCGCCTCTGTCCTGGATGTGAGATCAGAAGCCCCAAACCCAATGCTGACAGTCTATTCCTCCTTCCATAAAAGGTTGTCTAAGGTGAGAGACAAAGGAGCTGGGCCAGCAGAGACAGTAACTAGACAATATCAGAACTGGAGATGGCTACAACAAGCAAAGGAGGGGGGCTGAACTAGGTAACTGACTCTCCCTGGAGTTGTCAAATTATCTAGCAGGTTCAAAAGGCACATTGCAAGTGAATACGGAAAGGAAAAACTTTGCAATATTTAATTTTTGTGTGCTTTGTTGGTGACAGGGTTTCTTTAAATGAAAATCCCAATTTTTCTTCTATAGTAGGATATGCAAAATGCAGTAGAATGCATGCACAATAATGGCAATTTACTAAGACTGACGCAGACAGAATCTGGAGCAGCTGTGTACGGCAACCAGTTTCTAGCTTTCAGTTTCTTTTCAATATGTTGTATTAGGTTTTGAAGTACAAAGCATACAGTTAACAGGAATAGTTGTGTAAGGAAGCAACACATCGCCCGTACATTGAGCGGCATATAACAGTAGGCATAATCAAAAGGGGGAGGGATCAGAGGGAGGGGATAATGCTGGTTGTCGCTGAGACTCATCATAACATGAAATTGCTTGTGGAGGAGAAAATTTGGGCTATTGGGGGAGGTAGGAGGGGGGAAGGGTCAACCCCGCAAGATGGTAGAGGCCAAGGTGCGGCCTATTTCTACCAAGCGAAGGCAGACGGACTATCCATCGCCGGGGGGGGAACATAGGGTTTCCTAGGAGAGTGGTTAGGGGCAGATGCTGGGAAATTAAAGAGGCCGCATATTTAGTGGAGTCCCGTATGCGTAAGGTAAGGGCAAGGATCGGGCTAAGGTGCGGAGGGCAATGGGTGGGGGTGGGATGCCAGGGAATGGAGGGGAGCGAGCAGGGATGCATATAGGGGATCTCCAGCAAGGTCCAGAGGGGTGGGTTAACCGGAATGTGGAGGGCGGTCAGTATTAGTACAACCCAGGGCTGGACATCACAGGAGTCAAGGAGCCAATACTTCCTAAAATGTAAAGCTGGCTCCTAACTTCAGAGGTTTTCTCACCTTGTCGTCAACATAGCTAGCTCATGGATTGGACAGACTGGCTCCTGAATTCCACATTAATATGTGAGATGCAAGAGTGGGGAGGCCAAAGCCTAATCATTTTTGAAGTTCTCTCTAGTTGTTAATGCATCTGGCTCCTAAAAAAATCCTACTGGCTCCTAAATCGGATACATTGGCTCCTGAACTCCATATTAATTTCTCCAACATGAAAAGACAAATAGGCGACTGCTACATAATGCTTCACTATACTTACTCTTTTGTGACTCCAGGGTTGCTTTAAAAAAGCATTTAATGATAACTGAATGAATGCATTGCAGGACCAAACAGTGGAACTTTACATTTACCTAGGGTTCTGTGTTAATCATTAGCCTCTTTGTGTAGTCTTGACCCTTCCACAAGAAAACATTTAAAATGGAATTCTGACTGAAGCAGAGTTACAGCTTGTTAAACATAAAAGGCACACAAAGCTTTGACAATGATCCACTCAAAGAAAACTTGTGCTGAGGAAATATGGAGGCTACCATTGTTGACCTCTACTTTTGAAATAGTTAGCCATCATCCTGAATCAGTGGCTAGTGTATTTTGAGTCACTATGTAGTTTAGAAGTCACTGGTCAGCATGCCTGGTACGGATCAGGGACAGCAAGTATTGATCTCACACAGGCAGACCACTAGCCTTTTCAGCAATTGTAGCCTCTGTGTCTTCTCAGCACAGGTTTCCTTTAAAAGAAAAAAAATGTTATGAAGTAGCAATTATCAAATTTACTCTGAACTTTGTATTTTAAACATAGGTTTCTACCAGAGGCTAAAAGCTTACAAAGTAACACTATATACAAAATCCAAACAGGCAGCCTGCTGATATAACGTAGATGTGTTATACAGCATTGGAATGACCATATCCACTCAATGGGGAGCAGGAGATGAAGAATCTTGCAAGCCGTCAGCACACCCGCCTGCTATTTAGCCACAAAACAGACAAGTAGTCAAGCAGTGACATTCACGTTGGCAGGATGGGACACAGACCGGCACACTTTGCTTACCATCCTTAACGACCACTGAACCGTTCCACAGCAGCAGAAAGAAATGGCAAGTTACTGAAAGATATTGCAGAGTTTTGCTCTAATAGTGTGAGAAAAAGTCAGAGAAAATATTGTAATCAGGCTTGTCTTGTCAAAACCCATGCCTAGCTTTTCAGAGCGACCTTACACTTTTACCATGTGGGGACTAGGGAAATGAGCAGTAATTGGGGGGTGGGGGTGCTCGCAGTGACTGCGGATGGCGAAACAAATATCAGCAATTGTGTAAAGATGTCACCAGCACAGCAAAATCCTTCTTAGGATAAACAAATGTTAATTTATTGAAGTTCCCCGTCATATAAACAACAAGCGCTTTCAGGGCCACACAGGGTCCCTTCATCAGGCGTCAGCATTGTGCTAGACATCTTTACACAAATGCTTAGTTAATTTAAGTCACAGAAAATAGGAACTGAACAATAACCAAAAATCACTTTTTACATATGGCATTACAGAGGATGTTAAACATGTGAATATTATTCCTACTACAATTTCCACTGCTCAAATATGCCGATTGCCGATCTCTTATTCTGAAAACTCTTCCTGGCTGTCGTGCTGATCCAATGATTTCAACATATTGTGAAGCAACAAATCTGCATATCAAAAGTTCCAACTGAGAAAATATTGAAGTCAGAAACAGCCAAGAGGTCAGCAATGGCAGTCCTACCATTTTCTTTAGACCCTGTCACCGGACCACTCATCGAAACAAAAATCTTCCCACAATATTATATGTGCATTTAACATTTTATTCAAGCTATTTGCCTGCAAAGGCCTCCACTGTGTAGACACCCAAAAACCCTGAGATTGCTGTTGGGCGCCTCTGTCCTGGATGTGAGATCAGAAGCCCCAAACCCAATGCTGACAGTCTATTCCTCCTTCCATAAAAGGTTGTCTAAGGTGAGAGACAAAGGAGCTGGGCCAGCAGAGACAGTAACTAGACAATATCAGAACTGGAGATGGCTACAACAAGCAAAGGAGGGGGGCTGAACTAGGTAACTGACTCTCCCTGGAGTTGTCAAATTATCTAGCAGGTTCAAAAGGCACATTGCAAGTGAATACGGAAAGGAAAAACTTTGCAATATTTAATTTTTGTGTGCTTTGTTGGTGACAGGGTTTCTTTAAATGAAAATCCCAATTTTTCTTCTATAGTAGGATATGCAAAATGCAGTAGAATGCATGCACAATAATGGCAATTTACTAAGACTGACGCAGACAGAATCTGGAGCAGCTGTGTACGGCAACCAGTTTCTAGCTTTCAGTTTCTTTTCAATATGTTGTATTAGGTTTTGAAGTACAAAGCATACAGTTAACAGGAATAGTTGTGTAAGGAAGCAACACATCGCCCGTACATTGAGCGGCATATAACAGTAGGCATAATCAAAAGGGGGAGGGATCAGAGGGAGGGGATAATGCTGGTTGTCGCTGAGACTCATCATAACATGAAATTGCTTGTGGAGGAGAAAATTTGGGCTATTGGGGGAGGTAGGAGGGGGGAAGGGTCAACCCCGCAAGATGGTAGAGGCCAAGGTGCGGCCTATTTCTACCAAGCGAAGGCAGACGGACTATCCATCGCCGGGGGGGGAACATAGGGTTTCCTAGGAGAGTGGTTAGGGGCAGATGCTGGGAAATTAAAGAGGCCGCATATTTAGTGGAGTCCCGTATGCGTAAGGTAAGGGCAAGGATCGGGCTAAGGTGCGGAGGGCAATGGGTGGGGGTGGGATGCCAGGGAATGGAGGGGAGCGAGCAGGGATGCATATAGGGGATCTCCAGCAAGGTCCAGAGGGGTGGGTTAACCGGAATGTGGAGGGCGGCAATGGACGCAATCTGTGCGGCCTGATATTTCTTAAGGTCCGGGACCCCCAACCCCCCCTGGCGGCGATGACAGTACATCGTTTTCCGGGCTACCCTGGGGCGTTTATCGTGCCATATAAAGGACATAACATGGTTTTGCATTGATCTGAGGGCAAAATTCGGGATTGCTACCGGTAGGGTGCGGAAAAAATAGAGTAATTTCGAAAGTAGGGTCATTTTGACCACGTGTATGCGGCCCAACCAGGAGATAGGTAGGTTATTCCAGGAGGTCAAAAGATTTTTAAGGGGAGCGGAAAAGGGGTATATAATTCACCGTGTATAAGGCGTAAGGAGTCATAGGATGGGGACAAATATGTATATGCCTAGGTATGGGAGAGAATGCCGGACCCATGCAAAGGTGAAGTTTTCCTTAAGAAGATCTACGTCTTGGCGGAGGGAGGGAGACGTTTAGGGCCAAGGATTTAGATTGGTTAACTACAAGGCCGGACAAATTCTCAAAGGCCTCCAGGGTATTAAAAAGAGATGGTAGGGATATCAAGGGATGGGTCAGGGAAAGGAGAATATCGTCGGCAAACAAGCTAATTTTAGAAGAGATCCCTGCAACCTCCACTCCGCTGATGGAAGGGTTGTTGCGAATTAGCATGGCCAGGGGCTCAATAGCCAGAATGAACAAAATGGAGGAGAGGAGGCATCCCTGCCTCTCTAGCTTTCATTTTCAAAGCGTAACTGAACAATCTGAAGATGGCAGCTGCTTGGTTACTAAGGACAGCTGCTCCAGATCCTTATTGCTCCAGTTTTAGTAAATTCCCTCCATTGCATCTATCTGCAGAGAGTAACTGGAATGCATTCCTATACTCCCATGGACATCAGAAAATTCTAATGTTTAGTATAAATCGGAGGCTGAATTTTTTCAATTCCTGAGATCCACAAGTTAAAAAGGATCAAGGACCTCTAGATCGTGGCAAGTCCCATTAAGAATAGCAAGACTGATGGTTACAGGCATGACTCCCAGAGGCATGATGGGATTTGTTAAAGCACAGCTGACGGGCCAAAGTTCCCTAACTCTGTTTTACATGCTTCTTAAAAGGTATTTTATTGGTAATAAACTACTGAAACAATTCAGTATACACTGCATCACACAGCATGCACACTGCAACAAGTTATTTACAGCAACCAAGTCCACATGAGGTCATGCATGTCACGGCAAACTCTCTAACAAAATTGCATTTTCGAGATTTAAAAAAATGTTTGATTTGTGGAAAAACCTATAGAAGTATTATGTAATGCTCAGATTTCCAGGAGTCTGTTGTCACAAGGTATATAACATACACCAAGACCGAAGACTGACTGTGGACCATACTGAAAGGACGTCATTTTCTGAAGCAGTGACTAGGACTCTTGACAGGTGTGTAGCAGTATAAATAACTGCTTAGAATTAAACTTACTGTAGTTCTAAATTTTTGTTATAAGTAAAGACCCCATGGGGTCCAGCATAGTACTTATTATGCAGGCATAAAAAAAATATGCCTCAGTTCAGTTGGTGATAGATACACTGCACTCCCTGATATACAGCACACACTGCACACCAGGCTCTTCACACTTACCGATCTCCTCAGGCCTCTGAAAGAAGCCATCCTCTGCTTGCATACACGCACCTCACTCACACTATAATGGAGTAGTTCCCTGTCTAAATGGGTAGACCGAGACCCACTAAATCCATATGCTCCAGGTGGTGGGCACTGAGGGGGAACAGTCTAACAATGGGATAGAAAAAATATATTTGTGGCAGTTAACATTTCCCATTACAATATTATAAAGCTTTTTGACTAGATCACAATTTTTTTCCTCTCCCAATCCCTTCTTGCCATCACTGTATTGATCCCTTGCCAACCACTCCCCTTAGGGGTAAAAAATAATAATCTTCAACTCTTAAACACTTTGTTTTTGGCTGCTACTCATCTGGGACAATTATTGAAAACATGTAGCAGGAGAATCATTATCAAACCAACTCTGAAAACTGGTGACAAGGAAGTTTATTCTGTCTCAAGAGACAACTTAGCTGACAGCAATCAAAAATGCCAAACATTTACACACTCAATAACTGTTTAAGTGCTACAGTACTGGTACAAAGGTGCGCTTTTTAACAGCCTTCTGGCTTCAATAGGTTGAGATTAGGACAAGGGGCAAAATTGCTGGAGACTCAGGGAATCTGTTTCAGCATGCATATTTTAGCAATAGTAGGATGTAATAGCCCACATTTCATACAGGCTGCTATATATCTGGAAGCACTCACTTATTTCTAAAATTGTTTGCTCTGCCTACCACCCTATGGAGACACAATCTTCCTGCTAAAAAAAAGGAAAGTCTCAATCCTGTTGCCTCATTCTCCAAAATGTAAAAAACCAAATGGCAACTGCGATGGCAAAGCACCCTTCTAATCAATGTGGCAATAGGAAGGAGCTGAAAACCGAGCTATAGAAATATTGTATAGTAGCCCATGAAGTCTTGTGACTTACCAGAATCTAAAATATCAATTTGGATGGGCTAACCCCAAAGGGAGCATTCAAAATGTTACTACTTGTCTAGTAGGGTGCCGATACATGTACTCTGTAAAAGGAAGTTTGCCTGTTACTTTCACAGCCAAGCAATTCCTATGTAACAGCTCTTTTTTGAGTTTAACAGCAGTAAACCAAACGTGTGAAAGCATGTATCCCCCCTTAAAACCTATAAACTGGCTTGCACTACAAAAATATGAATATCATCTAGAATGAATGATCCTCTTCACCTTTAGGTTGACATTGTGGTAATATGCATTTTTACCACACATCACCACAACGCACAATACTAAGTGCACGTCAATCATTTAGAATGGGACCAGCCCACATGTACAGTAGATGTCAATGCAAAGAATTGTGCTGCCAGCCCATAAAAAATAGAAAAGTGTGCGGCTCGTCAATAAAAAAAATACTGGGCTGTCCTAACTAAAAGCACAGGCGTGCCGACATATGCCAAGGAACCCTCAATGTAACCCTTTGCGCCAGAGCGCTTCAGAACACAATAGATCAGGGGTAGTCAACCTAGGCACACCAGCTGTTGTAGAACTACAAGTTCCATGACACTGCAAGAATGACTTCCAAAAGCAGAGGAATGTGGGATTTGTCATTTTTTCACAGCTGGATGCCAAGGTAGTCTACCCCTGCAATAGATCAGCTGCCATTTAAACAAATATTAATGTCAGGATCTTCCCGGGACCAGACTATTTCTACTTCACATGCTTCCCTCTAAACAGGCCACTCTTTTTAGCTCAATGAGGTGGGTTAGGCTGCAGTCAGTGCTTTAGACATGCTGAGCATAGCAAGAATCTCAGCCTTTTTCTGAAATTGTACAGATTGCGGTCAGAGCTTTCTTCTGCTTTTTTGTGATTCAAATATTACCCAACTTCCTCAAACCATGAACTAAAATATAAAAAGAAATAGCCTGGTAAAACTTTTTCTTCTTTGAAGTATTACATTGTAAAGTGTTTAACCAACTCTCTAGATCCGAGTCTTTAAACGTCCGCTCAGCCATGCCCCGCGGGAAAGTCCTAAAATGTAAAACCAGGCAGTGATGCCTGTTAACATACAAGAGAGCCGGCGTATCGCTTGTATGAGGTCCCGGGATGTGCGGGCCCCCCCTCCCGGGCTCCGTTGTGCCCGATGTGAGCCCGGGACCAGCATAGTGCCTCTCAGACAGGGGATCAGATGGAGATCGGTACACAATCTCCTCCGGTCCCCCCTCTGCTGTCAGAATGCAGAAGTGATGTATATTACATCACTTCCACATTCTTGTGTCACTCTCCAGCTTCAGATGCTGGAGAGAAGCTGATGAAGCAGATCTGTGCTTCATCAGCTTCTTCAGGGGGGTCCTAAGTGACATTAGGGGTCTTGGAGACCCCTGATGTCTCCATAAAGAGGACCGGTCACATCTTTTGCTATCACATAGAGGGGTTTCTTAGCCCCCTATGTGATTTCAATAAAGTTAAGTGACATTTTTTTTTAAAGTTTCCCAAAAAAAAATTAAAGTTACACAAAGAATAGAAATACATTTTTTTTCCAAGTCCGCGCCATACATACAAGCAAACATGCGTCGGTGTGCATACGTGCGAAAACGACAATTGCGCCCATTACGCCACACTACCGCAGCGCTGAATACTGAAAAATGGCCTGGATGGGAAGGGGGTTTAACACCGCGGATGTCAACTGGTTAATATAGCAAAAAATAAAACCCCAGTGGTGATTAAATACCACCAAAAGAAAGCTCTATATGTCCCCCAAAAAATGGTATAAAATTCATTTCAGTACAGCGTTGCATGACGGAATAAATGTCAAAGTACTGCAGCACTAAATACAGAAAAATAGCCTGGCCATTAAGGGGGTCTAAACAGCTGGTCTTCAAGTGGTTAAAGTGAAAATCCCCTTTATGTTGTTGTCAGGTCTATTCCATAAATACTCTCACTAGCAGATTTGAAGTATTCGAATTGGACCTCCAGGTAAATTACATAAAGAAATTAAATACACTGATGTTTTGCCTGCCAAAGGATTTGGCCAACCATTCTGTTTCCTGAATCCACTTTACAGCACCTGGGTCAGCTCCCCGCTCATAGAACAGAAAAGATGGCGCTGGTTCATTATTCAATAATTAGGCTGGGGCAGCAAAAGTGCCACAGGAAATAAACATTTCAACTGTCTGGCTTTACAGTGTTCAAGTAATACACCAACTAGAAATGCCAATCCTTTGCAATTCAACTGTGCATTTAGTGGTTTACCTGTTTAATGATCCTGCAGGAGGCTTTTACCTGTAAATTCAACAGATATAAGCAAATGCAAAAAGAAAAAACTTGGATGCCTGATTGTAGGATCTGCATTAAAGTGTATGTCAAGGCAAAAAAAAAAAAAATCTATCACCTCTGCAGTAAAACCCTTTAAAGGCCCTGCAGTTACAGAAATGCATTTAGGTCCCTGCTGTGGCCTGACAACACAAGGCATTTAGGTGGACTAAGCGGCGTCAGTCTAGGTGTTTTTTTGCTAAACTATGAAACCATTCCCATTCTAAAATCATTGCAATTAGGAGGGCTGTCTGAGATAACACAGGAATTGTGCAGAGGACACAGGGCAGCTCTGAATTTCTGACATATACAATAGGTTTTTTCTTTTTTGCACTTATCAGAAAGATATGACAAAATGTTTCCAATGGTGTATATGGTAAAAGTTAAACAGGCCAAGGGAGCAAATAAGAAGTTCATCATTTGGATTTACATGCACTTTAATTAGCGGACATCAGCCAGGAGAGGAAGCTGTGAATACATCGACAGTGAGTTAACAGAAGGACAACTGAGCTAACCAAGGACAGGAGATGCGCAGGACAGCAAAAATGTCTCATCAGTGAAGAATATTGGGACTTCAAAGAGCATGTATTTCATCATAAAGACCACTGCTCCGTGTTATAAGCAGAGGTGCCAAAGTCTATCAACACAACAGGCACAGATGCCAATGTGTATCAACACCACAGGCAACGGTAGGACACCCTTAAGCTGAACGACTTTGTCCTTGAAGGTTTTTTCATATGTATAGTTTATTGGGGTTTTCGTTAAGGGTAACAGCAGTTAAACAAAACACTGCACGACAAAAGGGTTTAAAGTACCTCTATACTGATGTACAAATCCAGGCCTACACAGTACAGAACATGCACACAGATCATTTCTGGTTAAACAACTTTTCTTTGAATGAAAGTTAATGAAAAGGTTAAAAATGCTACTGCGTAAGCAGGATATTTCACAGTACTGTCCTTACCTTGGGTTTCTTTCCAAAGAGCCACAGCTTCCCCTTAGCCTTGCCAATTGTAATCTTGGGGTCATTCCTCGTTACATCCGGTTTAGGAGTACTGATGGTACCATCTGAAACTGTCCTGTACATGTGTTGACTGTAATCTTCGAACGGGTACTCCCCAGGGGGTTCAAAACCAGATTTAAAGCAGTCCACCACAATCTGAGAATCCTGTATCAATACACATTGGTTAGAGATATATCCAGCAAACTTTTACATTGTGACAAGCACACCACAGAAACTTCAGCATTACTATAAAGCTTAATATGACCATTCTGCATCCCACTATGTTTCCTATTCAGCCAGTAACTCCACATGTACTAACATAACACGTCCAACCTGCTTTAGTTAATTGCTATTCATCTGATCAGAATGCTATTTTGGCACAACATTGCTGTACACAATAAGATAATATAACTGAACTACAGCTTTACAGCTGATTGACTGTTAATTGACTACTAGAAAAATTCTTGTTACCACACTTTTCATACATACGCCTGTTAACCAGTTGACATCCGCGGTGTTAAACCCCCTTCCCATCCAGGCCATTTTTCAGTATTCAGCGCTGAACTGAAATTCATTTTATACCCTTTTTTGGGGACAGATGGAGCTTTCTTTTGGTGGTATTTATTCACCACTGGGGGTTTTATTTATTTTTTTACTATCATATAGGCGATCGGCGGGCTATGGACTCGCTGATCGCCTATATGTGAAACACCCGGTAACGGGTGTGTGCAACGGTCGGGTCTCTTCTGCCCGTGCGTGCCCGCTAGGGGGCGCGCGCGAGCAGAAAAAAATTGTCGTCTGTAGACGGCAACCCGCAAATGCAGCAGTGCCGTCCGTCCGTTTTTTTACTACGGGCGGACGGCAAGAGGTTAAAAGTTGAAGAAAAAAAAAAAGTGTCGTAAAGCTTCTGTCTTACCTACTAGCAAATTTCTTCCAAGTATACACTGAGCCAGGCATGTCCAGTTGAGTGAACATTCTCAGCATGCCATGAGTCTCCGTATGAATTAATGCCCATGAGCATGAGTTATGTCTTCTTGGCCCAGCCAATCAAGATGGCCAAAAATGTTAAACCCGAAAGAAGACCGTGTGAAGGTGGGTGTGACAAGGTCCATGCGTGAGCCATTGCATTGCTAGAGGGGAGTGCTTTGGCAGTTATATGTGCTAGGGCTGTAAGTAACGATTATTTAAAAAATCGATTAGTGGGCCGATAATTGTTTTTATTAATTGGATAAATAAAACTGCAAAAAAGTTGCAACAAATAATGGATAATGAGAACCATCATCAACTATTCTCATTATCAATTAGTTGATTCAGCTCAGCCCTTCTCCAACGCACCACTGCCACC